GGATGATTGGTATAGTTTGCATAATTTGGGAATTTTGTGGAAGGAGGAAGGAACGGAACTAAAATCGTGAAGATGTTTACATGGGTGGAAATGATCAAGCAGAGATTCTGGGAGGCTGGAACAATATCAGTAAATCACAGAAGTGTAACTAGAGCCAAACATCCTGCATATTCATATTGCTTGAAAGATAAGACACTGGAGCCCCATACTTTGAGGTTGACTTTAGTAGAAGGGGGAGAAATAGATTGGGTGAGGCCCAGATAAGGGTGGTACCAAGGCAACAGAGCGGAAGGGACACTGGAAATACATATTTTGAAGGTGGAACTAATGGGACTTACAAGAACATATGAAAGACTCCGCCACAGTAGCATGCACTCCACCCGGCAGGCCCAGGTTCAGTTCCTGGCTCACCCTCAAAAGCTGGGTGTATTTGTGTGTGTAAGTGTTCCCAGTTCCTCAGAGGACTGAGGTAGGAGGATCACACCATAGCAGGATCTTGTCTTTAAAAAAAAAGCCCCTACACATTTCAAAGTGATTGTACATACACCATGTCCTAACCTGGTATTCTTCCTCACAACAGTAGGAGAAAATCAGTGGTTCTTTTCTGAGAGATTTTTACTATAGGATGCTTGTGCTCACCAGAGACAGAGAGACAGAAAGTGAGAACTCACCCCTTGGAGAATGGCCATGCTGCAATCCCTTCTCCTCCATTCTTCTCTTGGGATTTTGGGTATGCATGCAATTTCAAACTACCAGGTCTAGGACTAGAACTGCAGTCAGCCCTGTGGGAGTCTAGCGCCTTAACCACTACACCACCTGCTGACTCAATCAGTGGTTCTTAACCTCCCTCATCCCTTATATACTCACCTTTTTCCTCTTCTCCAATAAAGTTTACCATTAACTTAGTATGTTTGCACGCATAATTTTGAAAATACCAACATTATGCTTTTCTGTAATATAAAAGAAAATTAAAAGAATGGTTAATATTAAACTACATTGAACTGGTCCCATGGCCTTGTGGTTAAAGTAGCTAGATCCCACATGACTGACTACACGTCAGATCCTAGTTTTAGTGGCTTGAAAAAACACTCAGGCAGGCCAGTAGGTGGTGTGGATTAAGAGCTGAACTCCCACACGGTTGACCACAGTTTGAGTCCTGGACCTGGTGGCTTGCTTCCTCACTCACTATCTCTCTCTCTCTCTCTCTGGTGAGCACATACAATAATAATAATAAATAAAATAAGCAATTACTAAAAGGCCTGTGTGTGTGTATGCCCCAAATCCCAACAGGATGGGGAAACGGAGAAGGGATTATGGATGACCATACTGTATCGAGGGGTGCTTTCTCCCCTCACTCTTTTTCTCTCTCTGGCAAACACATGCATCCTCTGGCAGTTAAAAATGCAGAAAGTACTTTTTTCCCATGTAAAAGTCTACTCAAGACGATACTAGAAGACGAAGAGAGGTGATCAGACACGTCTATAGGTAGAGGACGATGAATGCAGCTAAGAATCAGATGATACAGGTGTGTTGTGCTCACTGAAATGGCATGGCCTTATGTGATGGGGTTCTCTAATGGTGAGTGACACTTGGTACAATTCTAGAAAGCACAAAGCAATCTTCTCTCAGTTACTCAGTACTCACCTTCCTGAGGTTCAGAGCACATAAAAACCATGCGAAAATACTTGGGCATATGTTTGAAACAGAGTTCACTTCTATGCTGAAGTAATTTTAAGCAGATTTCAAAATGCACAGAATGCCTGGTAGCACTTTGACAAGTCTTTTGGGATATGGGACATCTAACATGCCCGGCTCCAACCATGAGGTACTAGAGACATCCCTCCTCCACGGTGACAACCAGAAGTGCCCCCGGGATCCCACAGTCCCACCCCCACTGGGAACCAAAGCGATGCTGGCTCTCAGGTGCCAGCCAGGTGTCAGCTGCGTGACTCAAGGACTGTGACTGGCAGGAAGTTGGAGAGGGAGGTTGCGTCTATGAAACCCAGAAAAGGAGCTGGTGAGGTGCTTCCCTCCTGTTAGGGAAAGCCTTAATTCCTTAAATATGTTAAATCTGGCCTTTCCAACCTGGTGACAGTTTCAGGTTCTGAGCCTAGGTAGAAGATAAAATGAGGAAATCAAATGATACCTTTTTAGTAAAAGGTATTTGTTGGCTTATTTATGGCAAGAGCCAACAAACCCACTCTGATTCCCTCCCTTCCACGTTGTCTCATTGGTAGGACGGTATGATGTCTCGAACT